ATATATGGATAAAGTAGACATACTATATGGATAAAGTAGACATAGTATATGGATAAAGTAGACATAACATATGGATAAAGTAGACATACTATATGGATAAAGTAGACATTCTATATGGATAAAGTAGACATACTATATGGATAAAGTAGACATAACATATGGATAAAGTATACATACTATATGGATAAAGTAGACATACTATATGGATAAAGTAGACATAATATATGGATAAAGTAGACATAGTATATGGATAAAGTAGACATAATATATGGATAAAGTAGACATAATATATGGATAACAACTTCTTTAAAGAAAGACTGAATGAGGAACATTGTACAGAATATATGTATAATAGGTGGAGGATTAACAGAAGAGGATTAACAGTAACAACAATTGCATGCATGAGTGGGATAACATGAGTAGGTAATGACAACAGAAGGATAATACTGCCACAACATGAACAGAGAACACATAGGTGGAAGCCAATGGGACATGAAGCCAATTAAACAGGATACGTTTTACTTTGCATAGGTGTGGTGATTATTGCTTTATGAGTTCATAGTAGGCGAATGGGGTGAAATAGCATTGAACTCATGAACTATGAACTATAAACATTATTCTAGTTATATCACGGCGTGTAAGCTTAATGTGGGAGGAAAGCCCGAAGTGATGCACGCCTCAGACCACTTCGGTGAAACCCACGAACACGGGTATGGTGCTTGACAATAATAGAAACATAATCGGAGCACCGGGATTCGAACCTACAATCATAGGTTTCTGGCGTGCCCAAGGGACGCAACTGTGCACAGTGAATCGCGGTGCCTTATACGACTGGGCCACCCGTGCCCCGTCCTCATTCAGTCTTGCTTGACAACGGTATAAGGATCTATACCGAAACGTCGCCTTTACAGTATTAAAGAAGTTGTTATTCATAAATTGCGTCTACTTTGTCATCCGTCAACTTCTAAGAAATGCCTATAAAATAATCAATGTTAGATGATGGCTCAAATGAATCAAACAAGAAATGGCTATTCGATATTGATGTATTTGATATGGGGCATAATAGTTTGCAGTGTTTAGGCGACTGTTTTCGGACGAGTAACGTTTAGATAACGTTTGTAATGTTTTGGTCAAATCCAATTTTCAAGTGTATACTATTTTTCCCTTCTGTTTATTTTATATATATATTGCCGGGCAAAAGAAAGTATACACTTGAATATGAGATTTGACAAAAACAATCTACGAATATATATATATGAATGAATATTGACGTATAATTATTAGTTTTCACACTGCAATCACATCTACAGACTTATAGAGTAAAGAATACATCAATATAATATATCAGTATCAATATCACAGAAGTTACAGTAATATAAAAAATAGTTGATCTTTTTGCGAGTTTACAAACATTTATTGTTCTACAGAGTCCACTTCCTTTACTCCTATAATTATACGATTTCCTCAAATTCCGTTCCCTTAAGTAAAACCACTATCATTACATGATATATCAACGTTTCAATTTCCCATTTCGTTTCTTTGCTGCTAATTTTTTTTCTAAAACGAAATTGGAATATGCTATAAAATTGTGGGGTTGTCTTACTGTGTATCAATCATAACCTCTTTTTCCCTCATTTACACGCCGATACTATAAATTGATTCCCTATAGCAGCGTATGGAGGTATGACTGCTATCCGATGTGTGCGTTTTAAAGACGCCAAACAGGTCTGATGTTGAGGCTGAATCTGCAGCAGACAGACTGCTGGCGTCAGATCACCCACAGAATCGAACTTCACCTCTTGCTATTCACTCAGAACGTTTATAGATAAATGTTTCGTCTTGTATTTGAATTAGGTTATTACATCCTCGATCCCGTTGTTCATTTCCCGTCAAAACAAAAGTGAAAGGTTAAATAATTGTATTTTCTTTTTCTAGTAATCTAGAGATCGACGTTAAATGTGTTTGCGATCGGTATTCATTTTTCACGAGAAACATGGAAACTGGTTCGTCCCTGGAGACTCTTCGAAACATAGGTTGTCATAGGACACATAGTTTCGTAAACTTGTATAATTATATATTTCTACATATAAGGTGGCTTTGAAGTGGTATATGAACATAACTTGTTGAGCAGACAGCCACGTCCACACCCAGGGATGAAGACCAGTAATTCGGTTACGCTGAGAGGAAGCCCACAACAAGAAGTAGATGACGCATTACTGTGACGAATCCAGTCATATCTTTCTTTATATACAGAAACGTTAAACCTGTGCAAGTATTGGGTGACAGTCTTTAGTGCTGACAGTTCTCTTTTTCTCCGGTTCTCAGGAAACGTGATCAAGGTCACCACAGCCGTTTTCTTAAAACTTCACCCAAGATTTGACTGAATTAAACTGATTCCCGTTGATGTTGAAATAAATCTGTACGACTGGCAATTAAAACTTTGGATATCCATTACTTCTGTACTAGTTTTGTGAGATGTGACACTAATGCTTCACAGCTTTTGTCTGTGCACCAATAAAATGTCGTCCATTTCAATATAAACTTTTCATGGCGAAACCAGATATCTTCATCGGTGACAAGTCCTCACCATTCCCACGTAAAGCAAGCACCTTTAGTGGCGAGACAGCGTAACATGCGTAACCGCCAAAAGGCAGTGAAACAAGGAATTGTTTCCTCCTGAACAATAAAGAAACAATCTTCCGCGTTTTGTTTACACACGTGTTGACCAGTTTGCCGAAGATGATCCCAACATCTCCTTAGTAACCCTCTTTATTTACCCCCACCCCCACCCACTCCTCACCCCACTCCTCCGTAATGGCTCCTTGTCAGACATGTGTATATCGTGGAGGGTACTGAGACACGATAACAGGCCCACGATGTATGGAAGGTTGCGCGATAAATCGTTAATGACAAGCTCCGCTCCCTGATAAACGTTATAATGAAGTGCAGATGATGTCTGGTATTTTTGGGTGCTCTCGGTAATCTCCGACCGCCGCAAGTCGCCGTTAGATTGTGTATTATTGAATATAATGCTCCTGTAGCCGATAAAGCAAAACGATAAATAATTTCGATATGTGGAATCATCATTATCACTATCATCATCAGCAGCAATATCTTTCTTTGTAAACGCTCGTAAACCTAGTACAAATTCAGTGTGTTGAACATTTCTATAAAAATTATCTCGGAAATCTTTCGCAAAGGATACACTTTCACGAATAGAAACATGAATGAATTGAACATAATCAAATTCAAATCTGTAAGGGTAATAAAATTTAATGTACGAATTTCAAGAAAGCATAAACGCATTGGACACAAGAAAAAAACCCATTTACAACATGCTCAAACTGAAATGAACGACGTCGGCACATTTGAGGTATGTTACGCTGAATCCTGTCAATCAGATAAGAGTCAAAACGGACAGGAGATTCAATGATATAAATGATTTCATTGGATTTATCAAAACGGACAAGATCAGGGTTGGTGGCCAGGATCGGTCTGACGGCCTATTTCCTAAAGAATGTATCATGTTCGATGACTGAATATGAAATGATCAACATTTTCATCACGTTCAGCGAGGACAAACATGCCACATGAATGAAGGGTTAACCAGCATGTGGTTTAAACATATATTTATGTCATCACAGATTGGTAAAGAAGCAACAATGCTTTAACTAATACCGCTTCCGATGATTACATATATACATTGGCAGTTTTAATATATAAATAATAATACATGAAAAGTACAAATATGAAGTAACTATATAATTATAAGAAAGGTATAATATGCATGCACAGTTCATGTACCTCCAACATAGGTAGTAGTACGATAAAAGACTTAGTAAGATATTAAAAGATAGTAAAAGATTACTTCCTTACACACTTTCGCAGTAAACAATATGCTAAAAACATGTTGACGTGAAAACAATTCATTCTTCATAATTTACGTTTCTCGACATTGAACATATACATAATTTATTTTACAGTTTTATTTAAGATTTGAGAAAAATTATAATACTATGAATATTAAAATCCATCGTCACTTGTGAAGTTCAGAGATAAACACGGATTCTAGGTAAGCCCGGTTGTCGTTTACGTAGAATATGTGAACTGGTTCAGTGACTTCCTACGGAGAAATAGGGGATTCAAACTCCTAAAGACATCCTATCTAAATTCACCGACAATTGCCCCTTATGATAAACTGTTTGGTATCTCCACCAATACTCAGTCGGGTCAATGGGCAATTTTACAAATCACAAACACAACTGAGATCCTGTCTATGTGGCCACATCCGGCGATGGTTAAGATCACAAATCCCATCTACAGTCAGACGACATGGCAGTCTGTATTCCTTTCCAATATCCTGTTCGTGGCATATGTTAGAAAAACGTATTCAGAGTTTCCTACCAAACGTCCTCTTAAAAATTCTTACCAAAAAAAGGTTAAAAAAGTGGAGACTACAAAGTCACACCATTTTCGTCCCGAGACAACCATTTGCCCCTCAACATGATATTATAATTGTAGGTATTAATGTATCATGTGAGCGGTTAATTATTGTTCTGCGGCCCTGATTGTGATCGAGTACCTCACACATGTTTTAACTACATTCTTTACCACCATATTTATAACATATTTAGCAGTGTAAAGTTTACTATTACGATGGAAATTATTTACATTAATTCATCACTACCGTCATCACAACCATCCTCCAACGTATCCACCTCCTATCCGTATCCATGTGAGCCAGCACTATAACACCGGCAAAAGTCCGGATTAGTACAAGCAGACAAACTGACGCCGCTGTTTGAGTAAAATAATATTGAACCCATATTCACGTCACTCATCCCCATCTATCCAACGTCTATCCATCACTGCCTCTCCAACTATCCTATCCAACATCCATTGCAACATCCGTCAAGCACTGCCTCCCCATCTATCCAACACCCATCCATCAATACCTCCTCATCTATCCAACATCCACCCATCACTGCATTCCAATCTATTCAACATCCATTCAAACATCCATCCATCACTTCCTCCCCATCTATCCAACATCCACGACTACCTCCCTCCTTCTCGAAGCCATCCATCAGGATCATCAGACCACCATTGGTACCCCCACCACTACCTCCCTCCTTCTCACATCCATCCATCAGGATCATCAGACCACCATTGGTACCTCCACGACTATCTCCCTCCTTCTGACAGCCATCCATCAGGATCATCAGAACACCATTGGTACCCCCACCACTACCTCCCTCCTTCTCACATCCATCCATCAGGATCATCAGACCACCATTGGTACCCCCACCACTACCTCCCTCCTTCTCACATCCATCCATCAGGATCATCAGACCACCATTGGTACCTCCACGACTACCTCCCTCCTTCTGACAGCTATCCATCAGGATCATCAGAACACCATTGGTACCCCCACCACTACCTCCCTCCTTCTCACATCCATCCATCAGGATCATCAGACCACCATTGGTACCCCCATCACTACTTCCCTCCTTCTCACATCCATCCATCAGGATCATCAGACCACCATTGGTACCTCCACGACTACCTCCCTCCTTCTGACAGCCATCCATCAGGATCATCAGAACACCATTGGTACCCCTACCACTTCCTCCCTCCTTCTCACATCCATCCATCAGGATCATCAGACCACCATTGGTACCCCCACCACTACCTCCCCCCTTCTCGCCATCCATCAGGATCATCAGACCACCATTGGTACACCCACCACTACCTCCCCCCTTCTCACATCCCTCCATCAGGATCATCAGACCACCATTGGTACCCCCACGACTACCTCCCTCCGTCTCACATCCATCCATCAGGATCATCAGACCACAATTGGTACCTCCACGACTACCTCCCTCCTTCTGACATCCATCCATCAGGATCATCAGACCACCATTGGTACCTCCACGACTACCTCCCTCCTTCGCACATCCATCCATCAGGATCATCAGACCACCATTGGTACCTCCACCACTACCTCCCTCCTTCTGACAGCCATCCATCAGGATCATCAGACCACCATTGGTACCCCCACCACTACCTCCCCCTTCTCAGATCCATCCATCAGGATCATCAGACCACCATTGGTACCCCCACCACTACCTCCCTCCGTCTCACATCCATCCATTAGGATCATCAGACCACAACTGGTACCTCCACGACTACCTCCCTCCTTCTCACATCCATCCATCAGGATCATCAGACCACAATTGGTACCTCCACGACTACCTCCCTCCTTCTGACAGCCATCCATCAGGATCATCAGACCACTATTGGTACCTCCACGACTACCTAACTCCTTCGCACATCCATCCATCAGGATCATCAGACCACCATTGGTACCTCCACGACTACCTCCCTCCTTCTGACATCCATCCATCAGGATCATCAGACCACCATTGGTACCCCTACCATTTCCTCCCTCCTAAGCACATCCATCCATCATGATCATCAGACCACCATTGGTACCTCCACGACTACCTCCCTCCTTCTGACATCCATCCATCAGGATCATCAGACCACCATTGGTACCCCTACCATTTCCTCCCTCCTAAGCACATCCATCCATCAGGATCATCAGACCACCATTGGTACCTCCACGACTACCTCCCTCCTTCTGACATCCATCAATCAGGATCATCAGACCACCATTGGTACCCCTACCATTTCCTCCCTCCGTCTCACATCCATCCATCAGGATCATCAGACCACAATTGGTACCTCCACGACTACCTCCCTCCTTCTCACATCCATCCATCAGGATCATCAGACCACCATTGGTACCCCCACCACTACCTCCCTCCTTCTGACAGCCATCCATCAGGATCATCAGACCACCATTGGTACCTCCACGACTACCTAACTCCTTCGCACATCCATCCATCAGGATCATCAGACCACCATTGGTACCTCCACGACTACCTCCCTCCTTCTGACATCCATCCATCAGGATCATCAGACCACCATTGGTACCCCTACCATTTCCTCCCTCCTAAGCACATCCATCCATCATGATCATCAGACCACCATTGGTACCTCCACGACTACCTCCCTCCTTCTGACATCCATCCATCAGGATCATCAGACCACAATTGGTACCTCCACGACTACCTCCCCTTCTCACAGCCATCCATCAGGATCATCAGACCACTATTGTTACCCCCACCACTACCTCCCTCCTTCTGACAGCCATCTATCAGGATCATCAGACCACTATTGTTACCCCCACCACTACCTCCCTCCTTCTGACAGCCATCTATCAGGATCATCAGACCACCATTGGTACCCCCACCACTACCTCCCTCCTTCTCACAGCCATCCATCAGGATCATCAGACCACCATTGGTACCCCCACCACTACTTCCCTCCTTCTCACAGCCATCCATCAGGATCATCAGACCACCATTGGTACCTCCACCACTACCTCCCTCCTTCTCACAGCCATCCACCAGGATCATCAGACCACCATTGGTACCTCCACGACTACCTAACTCCTTCGCACATCCATCCATCAGGATCATCAGACCACCATTGGTACCTCCACGACTACCTCCCTCCTTCTGACATCCATCCATCAGGATCATCAGACCACCATTGGTACCCCTACCATTTCCTCCCTCCTAAGCACATCCATCCATCAGGATCATCAGACCACCATTGGTACCTCCACGACTACCTCCCTCCTTCTGACATCCATCCATCAGGATCATCAGACCACAATTGGTACCTCCACGACTACCTCCCCTTCTCACAGCCATCCATCAGGATCATCAGACCACTATTGTTACCCCCACCACTACCTCCCTCCTTCTGACAGCCATCTATCAGGATCATCAGACCACTATTGTTACCCCCACCACTACCTCCCTCCTTCTGACAGCCATCTATCAGGATCATCAGACCACCATTGGTACCCCCACCACTACCTCCCTCCTTCTCACAGCCATCCATCAGGATCATCAGACCACCATTGGTACCCCCACCACTACTTCCCTCCTTCTCACAGCCATCCATCAGGATCATCAGACCACCATTGGTACCCCCACCACTACCTCCCTCCTTCTCACAGCCATCCACCAGGATCATCAGACCACCATTGGTACCCCCACCACTACTTCCCTCCTTCTCACAGCCATCCATCAGGATCATCAGACCACCATTGGTACCCCCACCACTACCTCCCTCCTTCTCACAGCCATCCACCAGGATCATCAGACCACCATTGGTACCCGCACCACTACCTCCCCCCTTCTCGCCATCCATCAGGATCATCAGAACACCACTGGTGCCTCCATCATTGCTGCCCTTCTCTCCGTCCAACCAGTGATAACGTATTTAACAACAGGTGTCTATATTCTCATGATCATAGATTATTCATAACACATATACAATTCCACGTTTTAGATATTTATGTAATACAACCCAGCGATAATGCATCGAACACGCCGCCCTTCCGTTAAACATTAATTACAACAGGCACGAAGAAAGAACGCGATTGTTTTTTGTGGAAAATATCAAATAGAAAAATATACTCCAGCCAATTATCATAATACAGCAAGGTTAGGTATGTACGTCTTGCCCTGGTCGCATATAAAAAACACGTCTTTGTCGTAGTGAGAGGCGTAATGGGGGTAACTAAAGCCGACTTTATCAGACAAACTGACACACGGCTTGTCGTACTCATTCGTCAAAAATGGAGCGCATCCCTTGTACGCTGGTCCAATCTTTTCCAGGAATCAGCGCAGGGCGAAAAGCTGGAAGAGTCACAACCATACAGGGGATTTTTTACGCTCCAATTTTGACAGGCTCTGATTTCCTAGACCATTATTGAGGAAAATGGCTGTTCGGATTTTCAGATAATGAATGCTCCCTTGCCTGACAGAAAAGATTGAATTCAGGTTCGTTTCAGATTCCGGAAAAGAGAGAGGTCTCGTGGTAATGATAACTTTTTGTATTAACACACTGACCACGTATGGGATATCAATTATAAATGAACACATCCTGATAAAAAACCAAATGTTTCCGGATTTGTCTTACGACCTTGGATGTTTTATAACTTTCAGACAAAAGAGCCTACATGATATTCATAGGGCACGTGATGAGAATTTGTTAGCATGTAAAAGTTCGAAAAATACCTCGGACATTTGTGATGATTTTGTGGGTTATCTATACTTACTGATATTCAATAAATCACTATAACAGAACTTGAAAATATACCGAAAGTATAACACTTAATTTATCACGATATTGTTAATTCAAGACAATAGCTAAAACGAATAAATTACCTATAAACCTTTTTGGATGATAGCTCAAAGTCGTATGATATTGTACAGTATTGCAATGGTGTATGAGGGACGTATTTTCATTCGTGCATTTTTATCAACAACGTGTACTATATTTAATTTAACACCGACCGATGTTCCATGGCCTGCACCGTATGACAACTGACTTGCTCTTCTACTCAGGGGGCGACGGGGTAGCTAAGTGGTTAAAGTGTTCGCTCGTCACACCTAAGGCCTGGTTCCGCTCCCCACATGGGTACAATGTGTCTCATTTTTGGTGTCCCCCGCCGTGATTTTGCTAGAATTCTTAAAGCGTCGAAAAGCATGAGCATGATCACAACCTGTGGACCACAACACATATGAACACAAGCAGCGGACTCCAGCACACATGCATGAACACAACCTGCGGACCACAACACATATGAACACAAGCAGCGGACTCCAGCACACATGCATGAACACAACCTGCGTACCACAACACATATGAACACAAGCAGCGGACTCCAGCACACATGCATGAACACAACCTGCGGACCACAACACATATGAACACAAGCAGCGGACTCCAGCACACATGCATGAACACAACCTGCGGACCACAACACATATGAACACAAGCAGCGGACTCCAGCACACATGCATGAACACAACCTGTGGACAACAACACATATGAACACAAGCAGCGGACTCCAGCACACATGCATGAACACAACCTGCGGACCACAACACATATGAACACAAGCAGCGGACTCCAGCACACATGCATGAACACAACCTGCGGACCACAACACATATGAACACAAGCAGCGGACTCCAGCACACATGCATGAACACAACCTGCGGACCACAACACATATGAACACAAGCAGCGGACTCCAGCACACATGCATGAACACAACCTGCGAACCACAACACTCCCGAGAGCAGCCAGCGAACTCCAGCACAGCTGAGTACAAACATAAGGTTCTCAATCGGCATTTTTATTATTTCACTTTTAAACTTAGGAAATATAAAGAAATTTATATTAACAGAATGTTATGTTTTAAATTAATTATATTTACCAGTCGAAACCAAAAAATTAAATATTTAAAAGAATATTACTTGAAACTTTTAGCCTTAGCAAGATCATAGTGGCGTCAGCTTAATGCCGCTCCGATCCTGTCAACACCCCACTCCAGGTGATAGGAGATGTATTCAAGATTGGGGTGAGTCGTGAATTTCGTGGCATGAATTAGACTGATTATGGAGAGAATGGAGAGGACGCGCCCGTGCTACACTGCTGAGATTACGTCCCCGTTATCACTGGAAACGGAAAGGAAAAAACTGGGTGGTTTTCCCAGCCTTGATGTAGGTGTACGGCCCATCATCTCAGAGTGATGGTATTGCTGAACTTGATCAGCTTCAAAGCCGTTCCCAAACTCTTTTAATCATTTGAAAGCGTCTCTGTATAAATTCGCCAACAGGGAATCCAGGTTAGAATTGGTCCTCAGCAGCCAATGTTGGTAGAAAGAGACGACCCAATAGTTAGGCTCGGTGACATTGTTGATAGCGTGTGAACGAATCCTGACAGCGTGGGACGTTGCTCATAATATCAATCACTGGTTTGTTTGGCCAAGACTCGATTATTACAGGCCGCCGTAATAGCTGACATATTGTACTGATGCATTAAACAACAGAAACATATACTGTAAGTTGCAGTTGGTGCTGGATCAGGTAAACCTGATGTCCGCTTCCATACATTGTTACCATGCACTCACCCAACCCACACTTATGACTACCCACTTTTTGGCTATATGTGCTGTCCGAGCCCCCAAAATGTGGGGACTTACAAATAAGGGCAGTTGTTCAATGTAGAGATAACACTGGATGAGCACAACAAGAAGGACAAATGCTGCTCCCTCTTTAGGAATTGTTCAGACGTTACGTTACGTTATTGCCGCGTTATACATTATAGATTCCTAGGTCATTCTGTTAATACCTTGTACATTCATCATCATTAATGTACCAAAACCCTTTTCAATTTAAACGCTAATCAGAATAGGCTAAAATACTGTAAATGTGACTGTAAAATTTTAACTCACTCACCCATTGTATGCACACGCTTTTTATACTAATATAGGTTACTAAGTTTCACCAATACATTTCTTTCAAAGGTTGATTTGGAAATCAGGATGTGACCAACTGCAAGGTTGAGCATCTACTACACCAAATCAGGATCAGACGCTCACCAAGCAGCCTTCAGTGCAGACTGTATCAGCTGCCAGCTGTGATGGGATGATTTTGTGCAAGATGTTTATGTTTTTTAAATGTACACCCACCCAGCCTATCTATATTTAGTGCTGTCTTTTTTTTAAAATGATGACTTATACTGTATGTGACAACAGATATTTTCAAGTGACATTTGGTGCGGAACGGGGGAGGGTGTGTTCAGCTTCTTGTTCTTGGAAATGGAGCTGCTGAACTAGTGATGTGTTTGGTGTGTATTGCTGATTTAAGGCCAGACTGTGCACACATGTACAGGTAATAGCTGTTGAATGCTTCGCTATATAACAAATATAACGTTACCATAGAAGTCTATTGGATTACGTTTGGCTGTGAGTAACCTCGAAACCAGGGCATCTGTGTGGAACTAGGGGACGCAACTCTACCCTCAGTCAGCGCATCAGCCGTTTGCACATACCAAATGAAAACTATCAAATCAACACTCCGTGTGACCAGGGCTGTAGTTTTCAACATCTCCCCTTGATATCGGAATGTGGAGTTTTAATGCTCGATAATATCAGTGCTGATGAGTGGAAGGCAATTTCCGCAACTTGAAGATGGATAAAACTTTATCATAAGGATAAAAACAGCGCTGGGACATCTGGTGAATGTGCTTCTTTCTGCGTTTATCAGGGTGTTGACACAGCTCACCTGCTTGTTGTGTAAATGACAGCTTGTTAGTTTCATGGTTTAGACGGTTTAGTTGAAACCATGAAATACACCACTCTCTCCCGACAGGCAGCGCCTGTAATGACATGGGAATGTTTTTCATTCCACTTCCCCTCCTTGCGTTGGATCTGATGTCTGACATACCATTGATATCATTCATATTCTCAAATGGAACTTCTATCGGAACATGGGCTATGAACTCTTGTCAAATGTTTCAGTGTATACGTTTATAATCATGTATTTGGGTTATATGTAAGGAACACAAATAAGGAATTGATGTCATATACAAAGTTGGTAGTTTTGAAATGCTTGGAATCGGTTTTCGGTTTGTGTGCCGGACTTTTCCCTCAAGGTATCGCCGAAACGACGTTTAAACCAAAAGAATGAGTGAGTGAGTGAGTGAGTGAGTGAGTGAGTAAACTGAGGATAGAATGGGCAGAGTGTATTCGCGATAGTCGTTACTATCAGGGCAATCATTCACCTGCTCTCAAAATAATTCTTGCTCTCAAGAGTTGACGCTATGTCGACAGTAATGCAGAAATCAGTCTATTTCTCGCATCAACCCGTCTATCTCCCATAATGCTGGTGATAATACATTCACTGCTTTGTGCCTACTGTCACATATTTGCAAAACAAACCGTCCTGTGTACGGGTAACGAACTGACACAAACATGTAGATCTAACATGGTTAGTTACAGTCGATAACCCCAAACCCGCTATCTCCCAGATAACATCTACGAATATCAGGCTTGGTTGTTTCCCTGCAAATGTCCCCTGAAGCAAATCGCATAAACAATAACACCATGAATATTTAACACCAAACTCAAAACAGGTGATACATTTATACCTAATAAACACATTTAACTACAACGCCGGAAGTACCCTCGAATTGCAAGTCAGAGTAACGTATTAACCATATCCAAGCGACAGATTGTGGGCATGCGTTAGAGTATTTCTGAGTTTATACCGTCTCCTTCCCTCCGGCCTGTTTTAATCGGTTTTTAATTCGTCCAGTAACGGCATAAAACGTCAAATTTTGACGGCCATACG